ACAGTGCGCAGCCCAGAGAGCGAGTTTGCGATTCGGAGCGCTAGTGTCGTGATTGCCATATGTGACGGCTATGTCCAAAAATGGCGGTCGTTGCACATTATACCCATGACTGATAGCGTTTTTTTGAAGGGAACTGACGTCATCCCAGAACGTGTAAAATACCAAAGAGCTGAAAGGAGGTGAAAGGCGCCGTAGCAAAGCCAAGCAATGAATTCGATGAATTCTCTTGTCAATTATGTGCCGGATTCCCAGAGAACTACTGCAGGAAAATGCTAGGTAGGTCGCATTAAAGACGATTGTTTTACGATAACTAGCCACCGCTTCGTAATCCCTGTTCATACGCAATGGGTTGACCGTCTGTAGAGGTTTCATATCTATGAAGGATACCGGGAAGCTCGTACGCAACATGGCGTCGAGCTCGCAGCCGATGTCCACGACAATCACGCCGTGCGGATAGTGCATCGATAACGCAAGCGTAACGACTTCGCTCACAAAATGTTTTACGGGACCATCGTTTACCGATTGCGACTGCCTGTCGAAAATGAGGCCACTTTCAGACGCTGCTTCCGGGGACTGCACACTCATTATGCTAACTAGGACCAGCCAGAACCTGCCTACCTGGGTAAAGCGGTTAAAAATCATTGAGAAAATGGGTCTCGATTGCAGAACCTTAGCGCAGACGGTACTTCATCTTACGACGACATTTGACACGTTTGAATCAATGGTTCTCCAACAGTCTCGCCTGAAAGCGTAGTGAAATAGCGAGAGATGTCTTATAATATCAACTACCACACAGTAGTTATTTACGCCTATAAAGGTGCATTAGAGGAGATTATTTGCTATATTTAGTTCCATTATCCCTAATTGAGATATCCCAACGAAATGGTACACAATAAGAGTCATAGCAATATGCGCTAGCAGACAACCAGTGCCCAGTCAGCTCAAGTGACCAACAACAACGGTTCCTTTGTCACCTATACATATGCAATATTTGTTATGATTTCGATTAGTTTAATGACTACATAGCCGCAACTCACCTCTTTGCTCTATAAAGCAATTTATATATAGCGTTTGTAAAATACCAATAATATGAAATGTGAAAAACGCGTCTTTTGTACTGTCTAATAAAAGCGTGCTTTGTTATATTTTCCAAATGATTGCAACAGATGAAGTATTCCACTCGTAGCACTTTAGAACCTGCGAGGCCAGATCTAACAGTCCGTTTCAAATAATATGGCGTATATTAATTTCAAATTTCAAGTGGTGCAAGGATTAACGTGTTTAGTAAACTTTGAAACAGCCGATAGTTTAGTAATGCTAAGGCGCTGAGCTCGAAAAAAATCTTCAGTAACAATGTTGGACGTAGAACTCGAAACATTAATTGGGTTTAAGTAATACAGGAAGTGCGCTTCGGTTAAAAATTCATACTGAAGACAATACTATGAAGTTAGATAGAATAGTAACGACAGCATTACATATTTTCGAATTGACTTTAGTTCCCTAGTTTATTCTTAAACTAAAAGCGGCGCTTAAGTACGAATTGAAGTGCACAATATTATAGTGTATTCTAATCCGCGTTGAAGGTCTCGTCGATTGGTTGCGGTTCTGAAGGCTTAAAAACAGCAAAGTTGTCACACCGAGGTAAAGCGCCCCGATTGTTGAGTCCAACCGGTCCTCCTACACGGCTGCGCAGAAGTTGTATAAAGGGAGAAAAAGTCAAATAACATAAAGAAAGGAAGGCCGTCGCCGGGCCAGAGTGCGCAGTTCGTACCGTAACTGAAGTAGTACGAGGTCATCTACTTGTTGAGATAGTGAACTAGACCAGTGTTTCGTTTTGTTGACCAATGCTTTCGTAACTCACAGTCGTTCAATAATACACGCCACAATGTATTTAACCCGTCAATATCCTTTTGACAATACGTTAGGAAAACAAATATGCATTGTGCACATATATTACGGGTAGAATAAGTCGCGTTCAAAGATAATAAAGGTCTTCTATAAATAAAAATAAAAGCTTCGCCCTTGTTCTTTATCTAGTGCACACGGATCAAATTTATCTAAGTACTTCATTAGTACTTAGTCCATGAGATAAACCAAAAGTCAAAATAAAACAAAAAAAATCAACAGGAAAGGAAATGCTGCTAAAAGGTATATTGTATTGTAGACAGTCTGTTCTACAGAAATCAAACTTACAAATGCACAACACGCTTAAGTCAAAAAGGAAACCTCCCAATACCGTATCGTCTTCAAATAAAAAGTGTTTTTTTTAAGTTCCCTCCAACAATGAATACGGGAGTCACTGTTTTGCTGAAGGGCACCACCCGCTAGCTTTACCTGAAGTCTGTTTTGGTATTAAACGCATTTTAGTTCATCTGTGTAGATGCTAAAGGCTCATTACAGTTATAATAGAGGTCGCTTCGAATGGAGACTAGCTTCTTTCTAGTAGATATCATTCGATAGCTTTTTGTACGATATAGTATACACACAGTTTTTCATACTGACAAAAATATTTGTTTACGCACAGTTTTCACTGATAATATATTAGCTTACACGATGCCGGTGGCCGGCTTGATTCTTCTGAACGGTGGTGTTCTAATATCAAAAATAAGAATGAAGTTTCTGCCGTCGGTCTAAAAAAATTTTTTTGTGTCTTGTGTACGGTACTTCAACCGCGAGGTTAGGGGGCTAACCCTTGCCAGAAGAAAACAAAGTGTATCTACGCTCAGACCTAAACTACTATGTGGCCCTTAACATTATAAGCAAATATGTTACCTACTGTGCTATTACAGAAACTGCATGCGTCGGTTTCCGACCGCTCAAATTTACATTACTGCTACTCGGATCTATCCAGGATAAATTTCTAGCGATCTCCAGAAGATCGTCGTTTCGGTTCAGACTAGCACACGGATTGAGATGGTTTGTCGTATAGTAGTGATAATGATTACTGTCCTTGCATTTAAAAATAACCCTACTAAATTAATACATTAATCAGCTATTTTCCCATCTGTAGCCTCTAAGACAATGTCCTTCAATCTACAGAATTAGGATATTATCAAACACTACCGCTATTGACTTATTACTGAAAAATTGTTTTCAAAAATAAAATTAAAAAATAAAACAAACATTAATTTACTAAATGGCACATAAACTAAGAGATCCAAAGGGTGTGAAATCAATGGAAAGACTATGTCATTGTAGACCATAGAATGCGTTTGGTTTTTCGCAGCTAGGCGCTTCGTAGAATATACAGACTGAGGTTCCTGATACAACGCTTTCTAAAATGGTACTTTGAATATAATAATCGTCTGAGGTTCATTCCAGAAACTTGTTTTAGTCTAAGGTGGGGTGGCTTGTATTAGACTAATAACCATCGTGAAGCCGAGGAATCGTAGAGCGTTTTTTTTTTTTTTTTTTTTTTTATTGAACGCGCAAATCCTGCTTTATCCGAATGTAACAACCGAATTTCGTTTCATGCAGTCATCCAGCCATTAGCTGAGCTATAATTGTCTGTAACCGCCAATGCGTGTCTCATAGGAGGGAAGCAGACAGAATTGGCTTAGGTACGCTGCGATCTCCTTGTCTTGCTGGTGACTTAAGGCTCTCTAATGCTGTACGACACGTTTTTTCGACCACTCAGACCTCTTTATCCTCAGCACGTATACTCGCACGTTATCTCTTCCGATAACACCGTTGAGGAGTAAAGTTTTACAAAAAGGTACAAGAATTACTAGGAACAATAAATTGCCAGTTCGTCGCGATTTATGGTTCGTAAACTATTGTCGATTTAGGATTAAACGCTTGCCTAGAGAGAGAACGCGATGTAAGAGATTTTTTCAACAGGAGCGGTTTTCGCTAATACAGGAAAAAGCATAGTTGTGACAGATAGAAGGATACGTTTTTCTGGCTTAAAATCCGGCTCAAAGGAATCATTGATGATGCTCGTGGGTACCAGACATTTTAAATCAACTGCAAATCATAGGAACCTTTTTTTTACTCAGAAAATATGTGCTTCATGAGAATATAAATATCGATAGCTCAGTTTGCGCGTTGAATAATATCGCAGTTGTTACGGTGTTTTGGGTTAGATCATTCATTCAAGATCGGTCATGTTCACACACTAAAAGTCGTCCCAGTATGTCCTGAAACGATTAGATGTTGTTACGCCCCTTTGCGGACATCTCATACATAAGAGTTTAGACGATCGGGTAAGAATCAATTAAAGGAGAGAATTTACTTTGTTCAAATACTAATAGGTTCAATTCCTAAAATTTAGATTTTGAAAACCACTACTGTTACGCAAACGCAATGGATTGCATACTTCCGAAGATCACCAAAAATAGTACGTCAAGCTGAGCTGCCCACCGAAATACCTTCGAAATTGGATCAGATTTTTTTCACTAGCCGAGAAAGACAAACAGCAGCTAAGTACTACGACTAGGTACGCCTATTGAAATAATTGAAATAATTTTGAACAATCTCTATAACGGTTAACCCATCAAGATTAGCGCTAAATTAGCCCTAGAAGCGTATAACGCTGTAAACGGTTGGGTTCAAATGGCGTGATTCGACAGATAGAGCTGTTTTATCTGTTATTGAGCACCACGGTATATTTGGGAAACGAGCCGCTCTGGGGCGGGTTTAACAACCGACCCACGGTTGTCTGACTGATCAGAGGTCTTTGTTTAGCTGAAGTAATAATACGTGCAGTTCGACTTCGTGATAACGGACTAGCTAACGTATTTGCCCGCATACGTGGTGGTTTGAGTTCCGAGTCCCGATGTAGACGCACTTTGCTTTGTGCTGTGTAGGGAGGAACTAGTTGAAACAGCTACCGATCAAAAGAATTTGAAGCTATGCTTTATCATTACATCCTATAGTAAAGCTATTCATCTTAGATAAGCAGGGCCTTGCAGGCAAACCTAGTAAAAAGGTTTTGCACCAAACAGTCGTATTCATCTGCCTTAATGGGCTTGCCATATGCTGGAATACACATTGGAGCTTAATGAACATTTTTTTCATAAATCTAAAACCTCAATGATTTATTCAGCATAAATATTTAATTACAATCGTGTATACAACATACCATATACGCATTATGAATGCCAGTATTTTTTCTATATAAGTCTTACTGCTTTCATCTCTTTGTTATGTACGAGCAGATATAGCTATTGGTTTGTTCTGACCGTGAACAAATTTCCTATATTAAGTAATAGACTGAATATTCAACCTTAATATTGTCCTCCATGGCCCACATTCACAGCACAATGTCTAATTTGGCTGTCTTGTCTCGTAACTCGGTGCTATAGTTTGGCATATCTTGTCCCATATGTAATACTTCAAAGTACAAAGTATGCACAGCTGTCTCTCTCGGCGCATACATGAATAGATACTGATGATAGAAATGAAGTAAGATGAATTAAATATTTCTGCTCAAGTTTTAGTCGAATGTGCTAAACCTGTATTTGAATAAATTCTAAGATCAAAACTGTTCAATACGATTTAGCTCACTTTAGACATAAAGCGCCCAATACATAATTAATTGACCTGTGAAATCAAACGTCGACTCAAACCACTGATAAAGCATAAAATTCAGTTCAGCCTTAACACGTTTCGTATGATCAAAATAAATAAGTATATATGATATGAAATCCATGATATATATATATTTTCAAGTTCAGAATCAAATAATGAAACATTGAAGGCAAATGCTGGTTCTTAAACGTACACCAAAGGTTTAACAAGCCTAAAGCGCACTGTTCAATATAAAAAATCGTGGGACAAACTTGCAATACCATAATCTAAATTCTGTGAATGTGCAATACTCCGATACGGAATTAATATACATGTTTGAATAATCCTAGCAGTTTAGGACCTCGATATCACAGTTTGTCTCATGCACTTTGTTTGCTTTTGAAGGACAAAAGCTAGCTGCTTATACTTTCTAAGCCAATAAGCTAAGGTCGACCCCATGCTACACCAGCGACGCACTGCTGTAATAAACCACTCGTATGAACTTCGTCGAGAAATCGTTCGCGCCATTTGGCTACTTTCCTTGCTGCGAGCCGACTTTCGCCAACAACAGATAAATGTTTCTGACAATAACTGTTGACACATTTCTCTAAAACTGTCGTTTCGTCGTGGCTGGTATAGAAACCTGGCAAAAGAATAACGGCATTTGCTTCGCGGGGAATTTTACATTTGTAGACGAGATCGACCTTTTGCACGTTCGCATCCGCTCGGAACAGATACATCCAGCCCTGATAAATCCACGAAAAATAGAGTTGGCTTCGGATGAAATACATGTCAACGTTGAAGTCTATCAGTTCGTTGTGTCCGGAGTTGCGGATCGAATTAAGGCTGAGTTGACACTGAGATACCCAACTCAGGCTTACCAGGTTGAAAACCCGTATCTTATCAAAGCGCGAAAATGGTTGAGAAAAATCATGCGAGTCTACGGGACACATACTGTAGTCAAACACATAGAGGTGATCGTCTTGTACAGCGATTTCAACGTATTTTGGAGTCCATTCATCAGGATTGGGAACGAGGTACAAACTATCCATGCGGTCATTATACACAAGTAACTGATTATTCTCATCAAGTATGACGATATAAGCCCTTTTATAGATCATGCGGCGAGCTTTAATCGACATCACGCCTGGAGGTATTTCAACTTTTTCCGTTTTTAGATCGTCTTTTTGTATGAGCTGACACTTCAGCACGAATACGCGCTCTGCTCCGTTTGTTCGACGAAGGCATGACATGTAAAAGCTGTCTTCCTCGGTGTCGACCCCAATTACCTGCTCGATCGCCATCAAATTATCCTGAAGACAGGAATCACGAGATTTTTCCCATCGGTAGGTTCCGCGTTTCTTGAACGTCAGCTTCTCAATATGCCCCAATATAGAGATACCAAATAAATGGTTTGCGGCACTGAAGAATGGGGTTGTACTGAATGAGTTGACTCCAGTAAGATACACCCGATCGGTGGCGAGTTGTCGAAGTTGCTGAGGTGGCTTTGCAGTGCCTTCGAAAGGAATGACGAGTGAATGCGCAATTGAAAAGCCATTCTGATCTTCCTCCTGAACGACGCAAACAACAGGCCAAAAGGTAAAAATTAATTAGTGTGTCTACTTGCGCAAGTACCTTCACACATAACTAATATAGCGCATAATAAAGGTTTTGGAGTTGCATGTTATTTTTGTCTTAGCCAGAATATTCATAACAAGAAAATATGTAATTAAAGGTACCCTATTAGTTATAGTTCCTTAATAAATCAAATTAGATTTTTTTTCATTTTAAACAAAAGCTAGACTATGCACTGCAAGCGGTCTGCCAGAAAAAACGAAGCACAATATACTGACTCAGTTCGCCATATATCTATATGGACGATTCTCACATGGTGTTCGCCGATCCAAAGCATTGTGAGGTGGACATTACTCCTCCTTCGCGGCCTGAGCTGTTCTTCACCAATAAGGTCCAGAAACTCCATACCGCGAACAATAGCCTCAAACCCCTTACTATCTTTGAAGCCGGGCAAACTAACAGCTGCTCGTTCGAATGCGGACAGTGTTAGACGTGGCAGGCGTACACGATTAAGCAATGTATGCAAGTTTATCCCAAAGCTTCCCAGTCGCTTCGAGAAGTCACAGACAAACTGAAGGACGTGATCTTCCTTTGCAGACACCAGCGCATCATCCTGAAGCAGATCGTCTACCACCTCAAAACTGAGATCAAGCATATTAGCGGGAATCATGTTTCCTAGAAGAACTTCCCTCGTCAATATTGCAGTCTCCGAATCGATAGGCTCTGTTACGATCGCACTCAAATCTTGCTGCGGAATTGAGAGAAAATCAGTCCGAACGTACTGTTGTAGCATGATCAACATGTTTCTACTGATAAAACGACTGGCCAGCTTGAGTAAATGTAAAAAATTTTTCCCGCATATAAATAGTTCACCAGTACAGCAAAATTGCACAAACGATTCTATCCGCAATGAATCAAGATCTTCAAAAGTGACTGTGCGTTGCTGTTGCTCGACCATTCCAGATGATAAAAGTCCGACAAAGTATTCGCTCTGAGCGCATAGCGCTGACGATTGAACGCGTATCTGAGCCGCATCCGAGGTGATGATCGTTAAGTCATATTCCTCTGTCCGTTGAACGGAATAAGTACACTTTTTAAACTTATTTGTCATGCCCAACATAAACTTTTTTGCCGCAAATGATTCCATCTTTGAGCGCTGGGAAGCGACATTATCCGACTGTTGTTCATACACCTCTTTGAATTATTTACTGACACAATACCAGAGTTGCAAAATAACGTAATTCCTGATTCGGTAACGGTAATTGCGCAGATCACTCTCAATTACTCAAAAGATTTTGTATCCACAAGAATATGGCAAGAACTGTTATTAAATTAATGTTATAATTGTTAACATCAAAGAAGAGCTTATACCTGCATTGTTTAGATCTAAATGGAAATGATCACATAAAATTTCTGATGTTCTTTTTTGTTTTGTTCCATGGGTGTCTCTTATCATATGGGACTGTTTTTAGTAACCGAAAAATAGTACACAATTAGGCATCCGCAACAGTAAATGAAAAGAGCGTATTGTTCCGCCCATTAAGCATTTTGGAAGTAAAGGGGTCGGTGGAGCATTCCGAGAAGTTAAGAGTCGTCTGTTACAGGGATTGTTTATATGCTGTGTTGCATATCAACACATGAGCTGTTGCCGGCTAATAGGCGCGTGCGAAGATTTGATGGAAACAAAGTCGTTTGCGAAGTGAACAAATTCAGCGACTTTTTCCAGTGATCCGTAGTACGGTTTCCCGTTGCACAAAATAATGGCAGCGGGTCCAATTGCTGAACGAAATCAAGGTCAGTTATCTAATTGTCGTTCAGTTTTACTAGTGACGACTTCGAACTGAACATTGTAAGCCTACTTGTACATTAGTTCTTATATAGAATTTTTACCTGGTTTGCCAAGATATGATTTTATGGGACATTTGCATGGTAGTGCTGACGATGGTGACTAGAGAATGTGGAAGTCTATGAAGAGCTAGCAGAACCGTCAATCTATTAGGCGGGCAGATTTAAATATTAAAATGTTTTTGATCAGCCAAATGCTCATTCAAGTTGTGCGTCACTGTCTTCGATGATACACATCGAGACCTGTGATATCGTAGGAGCCCAATTTTCCGAACTGAATATCTAAACAAAGCGGGTTACTCATACTCATCTACTAATGAACTTTGCGCAACGAGAGTTGTATTCGGTATTTCTTGTGACAGTCACTGGGCTTATCGAGGCCACGAACAGCGTTGATTTGCGATAGCTTTTCAACGCGGTGTTTTATAAACTATAGAAAGCAATATATTCCTTGAACGTTATTCGTGTTGTTGTGGGCCTATTTAATGTCTCAACGGCGAAACCAGGCTTAACATATGTAGGCGCAGATAACACTTAATGTTGTCGTTTCAGTAGTAAATCTGTATATATAAACATACCGTCTTTTTTTGTGAATTAACCTATAGAAGTGAACGTTCGTTTAATATGAATAAACACTATAACCAATGCTGGCTATTGTAGTCGCTTCTGAAACAATGACACGTCTATTATGAAGCTAGCAATGATATTCCTTCCGCAATGTTCAGTATTATGCCCATAGTCATTTTATAATTGATCCCAGGTAGATCTTGAAATTCGTATTGTAACAGGTCACTGACCCCTTCCTGTGTAATGGCAAATCGAATCCCACATACGTATATAATGTTTCACTTACAAAATCATTTGTAAACTAATTACAGTAAATGATGATAATTTTTACTATCATTGCATAAGGAAGGGCCAAGTAGTTAGAGGTCATTAGCCGTTTTCAGTTTAGCGTATGATTAAGGGTTTTTAATTTTCAGTCAATGCTTTATTTAGATAGGTCTAGCTCCTAGATCAAACGAATTGCATAATAAGTGACCTTACAGGTGATTTGCATACAATGTTACCTCAATTTGATCAATCAAGATAAGTCGTTTAAAAATTTACAGAATGTTAGGGGGACAATATGGATGTCATTAATGAAATGTGGAATTAGTACTACTGAGATGTACCTAGTTGGAATAGTTATATAAAATCATTAGGTATAATGCTTAATATATACTTTCATAAACACGCTCGACAATTTTTTTTAATAATGTAACCGAGCAGTTATTAGCGATAATGACATGATAATTTTAATTTCCATATTTCAGATGCTACAATATATGTTGGGGGTCTCGATGAGAAAGTCAGCGATAACCTCCTCTGGGAGCTGTTTGTGCAAGCTGGACCAATTGGTGAATATTACCTCAATATCTGAAAGATGCAAGATGATGATGATGATTATAATTATTATTACATAAATATTCTATTTAAATAAACTTTATTCAAACCCTAAAGCTCTTTAGTAGTAGTTATAGTTCGTAGAGTTCTATTTTTTATCGTCTACAAAATTCAGAACCGATGTTTAAACGGCGATTAGACCGTATTAGTTTGCTTTTGTTTAAATAAAAATACCCAGTAATCGTCGTTGAATGTTGATAAGTGTCCGTGTTACGAATATTCAATATTCAGTATCGAATGTCCGATGTAGGAAATCAATTAGTTCAGTATTTATATATAATATACTATGTATATAATATAAGGATATTTCAATAGAAATATCCTTAAGTCGAGTTAAAAAATAGGAAGGATACTATTTTTTTTTTACTTATTGCAGTGTCTGTCCATATGCCGAAAGACCGAATCACCGGGCTACATCAGGGATACGGTTTCGTCGAGTTTCTTGGGGAAGAAGACGCAGACTATGCTATTAAGGTTTGCAACAGACGGTAAAATAAGTGTCTATACAGTGAAATTTTTAATGAGCCCTTTTAACTGAAAATGAACTTTTGTTCACCCGGTTCAGGACGAAAAAGTACAAACAATATATAAGAACTTATAGTTGGTTGGGCCTAGCTATTTTTTTCGTGTAGTATATGATTGCATAAAGGTGGTTACAAAAAGGTACCGCTAGTGCGATATTTGCAGTTAGGTGATATTAAACGGCATTAGTAAATTGGTTACTTGCAGGTTATGAACATGATCAAACTGTACGGCAAACCAGTTCGAGTCAACAAAGCTTCTGCGCATCAGAAGAACTTAGATGTCGGCGCAAATATATTTATCGGCAACTTGGATACAGAAGTTGACGAGAAGCTTCTGTACGATACATTTAGCGCCTTTGGAGTTATTTTGCAGACGCCGAAAGTAAATATTTCGCAGATTCATGTATATATATGCTCGATGTTGTATAAAAAAAAAGCACAACCACTAGTAACCTTGATTTCTTCTTTTCTTATGTCACACAGTAAAACATGTACTTTATCGCAGGGTCTGAACCAGCATAATTTTTTTCAGCCGGTACATTAGCCGTGTAAGCCATCGCACCGATATTTACTAACTTCAATACTTTTTGGTCACATCAAAGAATCTCCTATTCATGCAAAATATAATTATTTCGGTTTACAAAGCAAATGTAGTTAACTGGTAAGCCTTCGTAAACTTGAGATTTCAACTTGTGTGGGTAAATATAACGGTTACTATCAAGTGATTAATTGTTCTTAGCTTCAAATGTAGTTGAAGTATACTGGATGTCTGTATGCCCAACGAGTACCTTTTCTTGCCTACCTTTACTAGTACTTGAATGTTTCTGTCTCGATCTAAAATTTGTAATCGAAGTGTCAAATGGCAATACTTGTTTTGATATGCTTGGACAACCGATTTGAATTACACGAGGTTGAAATTACTATTGTAAGCAATTATTCATTGCCGGTTGATTTTTATGCTATGACCAAAGCGTTTCGGCTACACATTAATTGCTAATTCCTCTGTGTTCTCTTAGATAATGCGTGACCCGGAAACGGGCAATTCGAAGGGATTCGCCTTTATCAATTTCGCTTCATTCGAGGCGTCCGATGCCGCCATTGACGCTATGAACGGGCAATATTTGTGTAATCGTGCTATTAGTCTATCGTACGCGTTCAAGAAGGACACCAAGGGTGAGCGACATGGATCAGCTGCCGAACGACTTCTCGCAGCGCAGAATCCTCTCAGTATTGGAGAGAGACCCCATCAGCTATTCGCAGATGCTCCTCCAGCCGGTAAGTATTGATACCTGTACCTGCTTTTAAATATATCATTACCGTACCGCAGCGATACGGTTTTTGTGAGGTACAAAAATAACCAGAAAAAGAATGATTTACCCTTGAGTGAATGCTTTGTTAAAAACTTGAAACAAAGATGATACATTTGAGTTAATATTATGCACAGGACGCTGTAGCATTTAGCATTAGCTTGGTATCCAATCTTGGTGAACTGGTGGACTTGAATGGATTGCTGAAAAAGTATATTTTTGTAATTTCATTTAATCTAATTTATTTTTAATTATTTTTAATATATTTAATATAGACTTTAACTATTTTCTCTGAGATACCTCCGCATTCAAGTAGTCAGTCACTTCTTTAATGATATCCTCTTCTGATTCAGCCACCTCCGACTATTGCTATGGGCTGAACGTCCATAGCAATAGCATCCAGTTCTTTATGTCATTCGTTGTATCTTTCGCGTAATTAGATTGTAAGTTCTACCAACAACGCGTACTATACAATGGTCGTGAATAAAGAAATCAAATAATTTTGTAGATAGATATGTTTAGCGTACACCAATAGTGTACAGATAAGTGCAATTTTACCTATTACTGGTGTACAGATAAGTGCATATTTTACTATCGCTATAGAATCCGAGGGTGCCGGGGCTCCGGGTGCTGGGGCTGCTCCTCCTCCGCCGCCACCACCGCCAATATCGACGTCGGGAATGGGCGTTCCTCCGCCGCCGCCACCTGGCGGGTTCATGCCTCCTGCGATGCCACCGCCGCCCCCTGGCATGGTGCCACCTCCAGCGAACTTCCAAGGGAGTAGGTGTAGACAGAAACTTTACGTATTCTATTTAATTTTAAAGCGAAAGATTGAGCATCAATAGATAGAAAAGTCTATATGCTTTGTTATCTATGATGATATTTGGTAGTAAGTAAGACTGATAAAAGTAATATTGTAGCGTTTGAATATTAATAAAAATGCGCTCAAGCATTTTTTACTATATTATTTTGCAGTGGGCGGTCCACCATTTGGTATGATGCCACCGCCACCACCTCCGATGATGCGCGGGGGCCTGCCTCCGATGGGCGGTATGGGTGGCCCTCCAATGAACATGGCGTTGCCTCCTGGCATGGGGCCGCCTCCAGGCATTCCTCTTCCACCGAACATGGGCGCCCCTCCACCGCCAAGCATGGCTGCCGCTATGGGTATGGGCCTGCCACCTGGAGTTGCTCCACCTCCACCACCGTCAATGCCACATCATCCGCCCCCGCCACCGATGGGAGCGCCCTTCGGCCGATCACCTTGGGGACCACCCCCTCCACCTCCACCTCCTCCTCCAGGCTCAAGTGCTCCGGGAACCGGGTCTGGTCCTGGTGGCACTGGAACACCTGGCAATATCCCGCCTCCAGCACCGCCTCCTCCTCCGCCACCCACTGGGCCCCCTGTGTCGGGTGCAAGCTCCGTTGGAGGACCGGGGGCGATTCCGCCCCCAGCTCCACCCCCCGCTCCAGCTGCGTTAAGAATGATGCAACCTCCGCCACCTCCGCCCCCACATCCACCACCACCTCCACCACCGGCAACATAAGGGTCGGAACAACAGAAATTAAGGGTCGGAACAACAGAAATTGCTTATGTAGAATATGTGACACAGATATCGGGAGAGGCTGGTAGAAAGAGAGAGATGAGAAAAAATCTGACGCATGGGGAAGAAAAACTTTATACTACAGTATTCCTGTTTGGGGCTATGAGTATTGGCTGTTGTAGCCCGGTTAGATGCGATGAACCAACGATGTATATACGAGTCGTCAGGGAAACTAAACCGATGTAAGGAATTCATAAACTTCCTCTTATTAAAGAACAATAAATTTGTGTATATTTGTATCTGCCTCATATTTAACGAGTGGTTATTTGTGTTACAAATAAATAAATAAAAAGTTTTCTATGTCTATATCTATATAGCAAATGTCTATATCTATGAGTTACTGCAGGTTCTGTGGGATCTTTTGGCATAGACCTCTTTCAATGTATGGAGTTCTCGAAAACTTAACGGTATCCTATTTGCTTCTTGTTTCAAAACGATTTGAAATTTAGAATAAAAATGTTCATCATTCAAAACTTGATACTTGAACATTTATCGAAGTTTATCGAGACATGAGACACGTAACTTCCCTTACAAAAAAGTTCGCAACAAAATTACTGATTCGAAAAGAAATAGGGCAATGCGTATTGAATGCTTTAATTCTATTTCACTTGTACGAGCACAATTGTCCCCATGTGGCAACTTAGTAGTTTATTTCTAGTTTCGATTATAATAAAATGATATGAGTCTGTTTTCAATTCCCAGTTCAGTTAGCATCGTTCATTTTTGAAAATTTCGCTTTAATTTATTATAAATTAAGGCAAGAAAGGCCAACCAAATCTGAAAAAACGGCTTCTAGTTCGAGGATGTCAGACATTTTTGCTTCTTCTGAGCTGCTCCTTTAGATTTTTCATGGCTAACGTGCTTTTGCTAAAAAATCTGTTTGAATTTTGTATGCACAAAAAACAAATAATAAATACCTTTTTTACGTCCGGTAGTACTTAACTGAGCATTATTTCGTAGCATATCTGCAAGCTGTGCGATCCAGTGCAGTCGTTACGCAAATGACTTACCTACTACATTATCTTTGACGTACTAGGTGTACGTTATGTTTTGACTTTTTTACGGAAATTGTTGCTAAGCTGCCTCTTAATCAGTATCTATGTGTATGTTATACATTGAGTTTTTTTTCGATCTAAACGGGTAACAATTTGAGGTAAACAAACAAACAAACATGGAAAAGAGTAACTTTAAAATGAACAAGAGACATGATGAATCATATTGCGATGGCATTTTCTTCGTGCATGGCATTGCTAAACATTTAAGATTCAAACCTAAAATGAAGGTTTCTCGATAGAAAGGTGCGTCGACTTCCAGTTCTGGCGAACAAAGTTTAATTGTTCAAGTTTGACGTAGTCGATCGTAGAAAGGTGCGTTAAAGTGCTACGTAGTCTCCATAACTACACCTTTGATTCTGTTCGGGAGGGCAATTACTGTAATTATTATTATTATATCTAAAAATCCTTATCATATTTTACGACTCCTATGATTATATCTAGAAAATAGGTTAGATTATTCAGACAGAAGGTTCTCAGCTCTAAGTGGAGTTTTTACCAAGTAGACTCGATTCGATTCGCGCGATTTTCAGTATCAGGGCTTTTAAATATATATGCACATGTGTTCAACAAATAACCTGCAAATTTGCAGGAGGCAACTTCTGAAGACTTGCTGAAGCAGCCTATACTGAAGCCACGTTTACTTGATGATGATGTTAACTCACGGGGGCTCTTTATACCGCATTGGCACACTCCGCTGTTTACAATAGGCTTTAGCGAAAATAACAGTATTAAATATAATCACCAGACCTACCCGAAATACTATTCTTCAATGGCACATAAATTCGTAACTGGCCATGTTGTGCCAATGAATAACGTTCTAAACAAAGTTATCTAAATTCTTGAGTCAACTGTGGCTTACTATCGTCAACGCCTCTTTGATTTTTACTATCAAACAACCCTTAAACCAACACTTAGCCTTTGGCATAGGTTGCTCATGGTAAAGTAAGGATAAGCACTATACGTTTACGTTGTCTTACGGCGCTATTCACAAATGGGCTTTTATGTCTTTGTCGTCTTCTCTGGCTAACGTTAATGCAAGTCGTCATAGTTCCCGATGACGTACTGGCTTACAATTCAAGTAGAACCATTCCTTTATTCTTTTTCGTATTATTCCATCGACTCCCAATACTCCTTGCTCATACTTCCGAAATTGATTCGCCCATTACACAATTCTCTTCTGGCCGCCCTTCATTTTCTGTGGTACGTCATCGCTCATGCCTGTCATCATAACAAACCAATACACCCTGAGCAGTATTTCATACGAGAAGGCGGCTAGATTTCGATTTAGCTAAAGGCGGGTGTGATCTACGCGCAGAACGCTCCACGACTTTAGCCGCTAGTTAATGCTTATGTCTGCAATATCGCGCCTTTGCGCGTAGTTACTGCTCGCGTTTCGTCTCGTTCGCCTTTGTCTATGGACGACTAACCATCATACCCTCGGCTTTCTCAGGGCATAGTAAGGTAATTGTAAGCCTATCGCACTATAATTACAATGTTGTTTTCCGTTTTGTTGCTCGTTACTAGATGAGAGTGAACCCGATGCGATCGTGCGGCCTCCGTCCCCGTTTAAACAGTGTGCGCCGAGTTCCCGCACAAAGCCATTGACGGTTAGTAAATAGAACACGTGCATGCGTGTCCTCGCCATTATTACTACGGCGTAAAATCGATCACTAACCAGCTGCTGGCATGAACTGGCGATGACTTCCAGGCTGAACCTAACAGACTTAGGTCAGCTACAGCAAGAAATTCGAGCCACATCAGGGTGCCCGAACGCTCACGCTATCACATACTCATACATATACACACTTACACATACACATATAAAACCGAACGCTAACAAAAGTTGAACAAACACTTTCAAACAATACTTACAAGCGAGTTCAGCAGGAACATATTTCTGTTCAGCCGTTAACTGATGTACACCCAGTAACATATCGGCAATCACAAAAGCGAGTCTCAAGTACAAGAAGCGCATACAAAGGCGACTACGCTTGATCGCAGACGAAGTACGGCAAGTGTTTGCAGAACCCTTAAGAAAAATTTGAGACTTCCTATGTTGATGGTAGATTGAACGGAACGCAACAGTACAGTGTGTCGGAGCTGTGATCTATCGATCTAAACCAATTACTAACTGAAGTAAACAGCCAGTATTATATCTTACTAGCTGGTTAGTCGTAGTCTTGTTTTGTCAACTTCGTGATTCACAGCTTGAGAAACGCTGCGTGAGCCTGATGTGAATACACCACAAGGGTATCGTACGTGAGTCGGTGGACTGAAGTGTTCGGTGGCGCTAGCAATGGTAGCTGCGCCCCTATCAGGCGCGACGGATGCTGTGGCAGTTTGTTAGTTTCCAGTTGATTCGCATTAGAGGCACACCCGCGTCTGGCCTGCTGTAACTAAATCGTTCGGCATGATACGCACGAATGAAGGGATGCTTCGGTGATTGTGTCATCTTGTATCGTGTAGCACGGCGAATTATTTTAATGAAAGTAAAGTAGTTTAGTCAACAGAGAGAGCGACGGTGGAAGAGCACCTCATGCTCATTAATTCAGCCGAAAGGCGAAAGAGTGTAATGAATGATGTGACAAAGCCCATAATTTTACGTCAATGGTGGTTACTAGGACTGGTATTATTTTTCTGTGGTACCGAATGCAGGAGCTCCTGTTCTTATCGCTGTTCAAACGTATTAAATGTGCATACAGCATCTTACATTGTCCAATAGAAATTTTGTCCTAGATAGGACGCATGTTAACTGCATGTGCGTCTGTTTTAGCAAAAGTAGAACTTAGTGAAGTCGACTACAAAGTAGTTCCTTTTGTAATCTGGACGAGGCTTCGGTACTAACATGTGTGCATTTAAATGCAGACGCGTCTCTGTTTGGACTCCGATTGTGAGATGCGAAATAACAATAATAGTTGCTTTATTTTTTCCAGCGTTGAACACCTGCCGACACGATGGGTTGCTGTAGCTCAAAATACGATTTTAGCGGAGACAAACCAGCAGCGCCGAAGGAAACGTCTGTCGAAACGCTCGGCATGTCCTGTAGCCATGAGGGCCCGTTCAAGCATCGAGATGATAAATTAAAAGCTAACGAGGAAAAGCCGGAAGTTATACTTAAGGGTGAACTTCAAGAATTCCAAACAATTGACCTGAATTCCTAGCAACAGATAAACTCATTGAGGAGTTGTTACATGTGTTTATTTTTCATCATTTACGTCCGGTACTTAAACCATAACGCATCAGTTCAGCTGGCCGGCTTTCAGCAAGAAACGAAGTGTTTTACGCCCGGATTCAAATGCCACCACTGCATAACCATAAGTTTAGCAGATAAACTCTTTACCCATTGCACAATCAAGGAAACATACAGTACCTTTGAAGGTTTCTGGAAATGACTGAAGAACGGCAGCCCGGTTATATGTATCCTCGTTCCGGCATGCCAAAATGTTGTGCGAATATAGGCGGCAGTATCGTTGCTTAACAGTTAGGCAAACTGAATGAGATCTGGGTATGGGCAAAAAATGTAGAAGTTTAAATTATCAGCATGAAAGTTACCCTATGTAACAGGCAATTGAACTACCTAAATATGAGTCATAGCAAATACCGAGGACTTCGTTGTTCAATCACCAAAAACAAATAACCGATACCGGAAAAAAAAATAGAAAAAAAAAGTACGCTTTGAAAATACATGTTTCAGTAGCGATGCGCTTCGAAGGTACATGGTGATTCAATAACGATGACTCACTACCAACGTTCATGGTAAGAATAATGACGGTGACTAATATAAATATCACTAGAAAAGTCATTTCGCGCAATACAGTTTGTAAATAATTACATCAGATTGATATAAGGTTGTTAACGTTATCAAAGTCATAGATCTCAAATCGTGGATACTGTCTCTATTCGAACAGCAAAGGACAATAATTTGCATGGAAGACTCAGCCAATATAAAAATACTAGTATTTCTTGCATGAAAGAATATTTCTTAACGTTAAGTCGAAAATTGTATCTAAACGTAGTGATTAAGGGGTTAGAGGGGCGACGTCAGAATAGCGCCAGCCATCATCGCGTGGTGAACCCTGGTATTGGTTCATGTGTGGACGAACTCGTTCTATAGAATGAAACGTCTATTATATGAAAAGTTATATATACGCTAATAAATGCAGACGTTTGAGTGCGCATATGCTGATCAGAAATCATTATTTCTCAGACTTAAGAAACATCTAGATATCAACCCGTTGTAGATTATTCGTACACACAACGTTTACTACAAAGATAATTTTGATATTTAACTACCAGGAACGCCAGGCCTAGTATTAATCATGGTTCATTTTTGACAGTGGTAAAACTCAATGTTAATTTGCAAGTTTTAAGCGCGGCGAACGATAGTCTTCGAGAGCATTAAAAAGCTTTTTCTCATAGAGAGGACTTATTAGATCGGTAGCCATTCGAATCGTTTTGACGATCCTGTTTGAGCCTATTGTGGTATTGTTTTTCTCGGCACTGCGCACGCCGAATTGTTTTAACATACCAGACTGTCGCATATTTCAAAAGCATTGAATTCGTCAATTCAAAATTACCCGTGAAATTACCCATTCGTTAAAATTTAACCTAAACTTAGATTAAACAAACAAATATAATAGAGTCTGGCTCCTACTTTTTTTTTGAATCTCGCCTGTCAAGTGATTCGGCCATCTCCGACGAAATCACTTACCCAGAGTTACACTCCCGTGTTGTGCTCTGTGGCTATGCCAAGCGAAAAACTAGTCAATATGGGACGCCTATCTTTTGTCGATATCAAAAAGCAGTGTAGGCAACCCAGAGAATTTGTAGCGCGTGGGGTGACAATTTTACTGCGAAGAAGATATATAGGCTCAAATAACTATGATCTTTCCAAGTAGCTCACTACCAATATTACCGCGCCAACGGATTTTGGATAATTGTGAGCTATTACTGAGCTCTAGGTAAAGCACTTCTTTCCGCTTTTTTTTGTTATTTGGAGCCAGAGGCGGTGTCAAGCTACGATATCTGAAGTTACACGATCTGTGTGTGCTTCAAGGAAGAGCGTGTTTTTTATAATCAGATTAGTTGCTGTAAACAACAAACTTGCCCACACGTGTTCTAACTGGAGTTGATAATACTGGTCACTTTATGCGTAAATATTGCACGGCTCGACAAGCGGGTTGAAGATGTTTTATTCTGAGGATGGCAAATGTCAGCAGTTATATGGCATTGGATTCGTAGCAAAGTGAAAACAAGAGCTCTTGCTGTGTCGCTACTTCCGTCGAGAAACGGTTAGAGTAGAAAACGGTCGTATGTAAATGGCTGAAATGGCAGGGATAGGAGGTCTTTAAGAAATTCTGGAAAAGAAACTCTTTTTTCTTTTTAAGTAACCTTTATCGTTTTTTTTTCTATTTACTTCCTTTTATTATATATATATATATATTTTTTTTTTACGTTTATCAACTTCAAGGTGTTTAAGGAAGCAGTCTGTGGTGAATGCTGCTGCCATTGAATGCGCGCTTGATGATAAGCTGAAAACAGAAGTGAATCATCGTCACGAGTGTGCTACACGCTAAATCTCCTATGAATATGAAGCTTGCATGAAGGTGAGATCTTCGCAAACACTGCGCCCGACCTACGAGTATGATGATGTTCTAGCGAGTTGTTGATGGTTTTTATAATGATATCGTGTCGCTTCTCTGTCCGTAATTGTATTTTATCAGTTACCTAAACTAAGCGAAATGAGTTTTGTCGGGCAGTGTCCACGGTGACCTATGCTGATTTGAAAGCTGATTCAAAAAACTGCTATTCCACAATACATCACTGTTTATCGTCATATCACAAATACTGCTTGTACATGATGATATAAATAAACTGAAAGTAATTTAATTGATTCCACTAAAACTACTATTTCTCTCACTAAACTACTAAAACTATTAATCCATTTTCCACTGAAAGTGGTATTAAACTTCTTGATTTAGACTCAGGCACAATAGTAGCTAGGTCCTGTTTTCAATCGTAACTATTAGCATCGGTACAATGACCTGCTTCAAAGTTAACTTCTTAATGAAATAACAAGAATATCGACTCGATTCGACTAATATCGAATAAACGACAAGAATAGGACACGCTTTATGGACGACAGATCTGAGGTTAGAGTCCGACGTCATTTATCCAAATCGCCATATTCTGCCAAGAAGGGCCTGAGAGCAAAGATTAGCGCTGTTTTTTTTACTGCTAAAAACGAATTACTCCCTCCAGAAAAATCTGACGAAAATTTCGGGAACACCTATACTAGTTCATGACACTGAAATTAATCGGTTCTAATTGAATGTCAAATTATGACTGCCGTTATTAGTAAGCTGATTATAGATCGTCTGGAGTGCCTCTTTCCCAGTCCATCCAAAAACTTTATTGATAAAATGTTTAATCATTTAATATGAATGATAATTCTAACAATAGAAGTGCTTATTCCTTTTTGAGGAAGTTAAGAACTAATAAATTATGCAGGTTCTATTAGGTCATTCTTTTACCAAGCTAGGGCTTTCACTTACTAGAGCCTGAATCTTGTGTCTTTGGGTCTTGTTCTGGGACGTATGCTTAATCCAGCAAGCGACTCCGTGGATATTTTTATCTTAAACCGTTCAAACTACGCGAGTAGCTCTTGACATCTGCCGAATTAGCTTGATGCAACTACATATTATTGCGCGGAAACTTATTAGTTAGCATCGCTATGTAAATTAACGAAGAAACCTTTTTACTTGATCAACTCGACCAGTTGCGAACGCAGATTAAGCATGATTAATTAAAATATCGAAATAAAACGCGCCATTAGTAATAGAATTAGACTAAGATCGCAGTCTTGCCCCAACTGTTTCTAATTGCAAAAAGTAAACAAACAAAACATAGTTGTCCTGTGTTAAAAAGATGTGATATGTATATTAGCGTGACTCTACTATACGTAAACTAGATTATAACCTCTGTAGGTTTTAACCGTTTTAACTGACCTCCATTCCGATTATCGTTCACTTGAACAGAATACGAATGATAATACGTCAGGGGGTTCAAATTCAATATTTTCTAACATTTTTCGATTTTTTAAGGATTTTCTAACAAAAAAATTGTAGGTATATTCGAATGTTAATGTTGCGAATGATTTGGAAATTGGTACATCCGCGAAGAAAATAGCGAAAAGAAAAACGTTATATTAATATGGTTGAAGATGTGCAAAGGCAGTATTTTTAAACTGCGTTGAGATTGTTAGTTTGATCAAGCCGTAGTCACTCTACGCACAGTGATCTTCGTATATAGATGTCAAAATTTCCAGTCATAATTTTTTCTGAATATGCCGCTGTCACCTCAATGTCAAAATTTTTTGACATTGAAACGTGAAGTAGGTTAGTTTATAATAAAAAAATATTGCCTGCACTGAACCTATCAATAGCAAATTTTTAGAGAGCTTTTAAGATTATTTAATAATAAAGTAAGGAATTGATTGTGCCTGCTTTGTGTTAAATGTGTCCCTCTGCGCATGTCTTAGGACACCTTTGACCCGTCACCCTTTGCTTTTCTATCTTCTTCTAAAATGGCTTTGTCGAGACTGCTAACTTTCGACATGCGAACAGTGTATCTTCGGAAAGTTCTAGATATCCAATAATGATCGTGAATGATGCAAGGATCATACCCCATCTAAGAGTAAGAAGCTTATGCTACATGGGTAAGTACTAAAAATATATACTACAATATTTCGTAAATTACTTATACAAAAATTAATTGTATTTCTGTTAGGGTAAATATATATGTACCGGTGGTGAAACTAAATATTTATTTTTAGTTTATATCTTAGCTATATCTATGGCATATTATTAAAATCAAATTTTCTTCATTTGGTCACACACGTATGTAGTTTCCATTAATAGCAAGACTTAAATGCTTGGCTTTTTCAATTAAGACATTACTTAGTGTTGAGTCATCGCTTTTCAAGTTCACCCTACGATAGATTCGGTTAAAAGTCATTATATAATGCTTTAAAATGAACGAAAGTTTATGGAAAACTTTATTATATATTAATCCCAGGGCAAGAGAATACGGCTGCAAACACCGTCAGTGGCGCTGGTTTACTTCTCAATTGTTTCGGCTGCATTATGACAAACAACATATGAGAAAACGTTGGCCGTGCCCTAGTGATGATTACTTTTTGAGCAAAACGAGAGAAAATAATGCTGTCTTTGATTTGACAATATGTTAATTTATGTGCATTCTGATTTTCTAAATGATCGCCAGTACAAACAGGGCATGGATAAATGCGCATGAATGTTTTTAGTCGCAAGCCGTAGTTGTGTTCAATTAACTCAGACGGCAAAACGAAGGACCAAGTTAACGTCCGCATTAATGCGATCCGCGCGGATGCCTCAGCCTCCCACACGGCGCTCATACACCAAATCATTAACTTGACATTGACAAAAAAAACTGCAAAAGAACTATGCAAGCAGTGCTCTATTTCATTTTTAGAAAAACTGAAGGTTTTCTGAATATATATAAAATAGAACGTCATTGAACTTATAGGTTTAATTTGTCAATATTGGTGTTACTGTGTACAATTGCTGTTTATACAAGACTCAGCTAACTTCGACGGTTCGGGCTAATAATTTATATTAGAAGATGATCCCTACTACAGAAGTGGGTGAGTTCGTACCACAACTTTAAACTCTTCGTTCCTCACCTTCGCAAGACGTCTTCCACAAGAGTTTGAACTTCCTCTTATGAAATTTTTTAGACCAGCGGCTTACGATGTTTCTATTTGTAAAATGTTCGCTAATTAATATATGTTTGCTGCGGAAGTTCTAAGAGTGAACTCACATTAGTGCATCACTCGAACTCATCTGCTAAAACAAATGGCTAGCTAAAAGCCCGAGTGATGATGTCCGAGTGAATGGTCCCGGATTCTTTTTGTACAAGTATATAACGATATAGCGCATATAGAAGGATTGTGAAATGTCGCACAGTTTTAAAACAGCGTCATCTTGAAGCACAAAATTAACGTCTGTCACGTTTCATATTAAAGGGCCTGTCAAGTTAAACTAAGGCATTTAGTTTTGCATTCGTTGCACGATACGTTTCTGTTGCCCAATAACGTGTAGCATGTGGTTGCTTTTGAAAAAACGCGTATTTGAAGGTCAATGGCACAACGCATCGTCCGAACAAAATAGTATTGCCGACATATGTACCACATTGCGGTTGATTTGACAATTAGATTAATCATGGACGGGCCAGTACTTGGATTATTCGAAAGCTGACCATTGAAAATCTAGAAGAGAATTGAGTCATTGAACTTGTAGATTACCTTGCCCGCGTTACAGCGGAGCAGCCCATATAGCCCCATCTTCTTCAATGCACATCTATCTATGAAGTATAGGTGCCCTTCGGGCACCTATACTTCATACAGTTGGCGGCTTGGACGAAAATCTGAGGTTTGCGAAAACGAAAAAAGAAACTCTACATATAGGTACTATTCGATTTAAATAAATGACCAAACATTTTGCGTATGGCCTTCCTGTTGCACAAGTAATATAGTACGATATGATATTCGTTATTTAATCACTGCACGCCTTAACATACAAAATACGAGCCGATTTACGTCTTACGAATTACATAATCAATTACGTGTTGCTTAGTTTATGCACGGCCGAAATTCTGTTGGGAAAACTGTATCATCATGCATACCGTTAAAATCCCTTGCATAAGTTTATTCTTATGGCTTCTAAATATCATTTTGTATCCGCAAGCAAGAAAAGCACACCTCCGGTAATACTGTGAGCTCATACCTGTTCAGTATATCCTTGCGTGACATTCAGAGACGTTTAGCATGTAGCCCGGCTTCCAGCCGGGGCTGCTTCGTGCAGCCCAGTAATAATTTCAATTACCCCTTAGATCTGTTTAAATGTAAAACGTGATAACACTCGTCATTTAATTGCGTATGTTTTCGTTGTTCCCTTGTACTATCAATGTGACTTCTCCGTTCAAACAGTCAATTTAACCGTATGGTAATCTTTAACCGAGTTGGTCATTCTCTTCGTGGCTTACCTGTTACCGCGTGCGCGTAGTTTTGTATACCGACTTTTCCTTTCAGGGGAATCGGAAAAAAATCTAGACCATGATGTCCTGACAATGTGCCGTTTACTGCGCGCCTGAACGTTTAACAATCACGGCGTTGACGACACATTGTCCTGTCGTTTAACTTTCTCCTCTCAGTTCGTGTGCATTTCCGATTATCGCGTGGGGTTCAACGAATAACAGTCGCTTTCGACTTATCAATAAGCATATTTCTCAATTCTGCTCAGTCAATTACTTTGGCTAACGCAGCTGATTGGTCTGCCATAGATTAGACTGCCATACACTGCTTTCACGATTTAGCTCTGTTGAATAGGTTTACGTGTCGTAATCCATTAGTCAGCTGGGAAATGTATTTGTACTCACTAGCTGTTCCACCAGTCATTGTGGTGTTTCCTATATACATGCTAGCCTGGACCTGCACTAAAACGTGTCTTTCTCATAGTAGTGCTGACGTACGCTCATATATATATATATAAATGTGTGTTTTAAAAAATGCCGTACTATCCTATTTTCGGAATTCAAAAATTTAAATTAGAAGTTTTGCTAATTCCTTCACTTCAGATCTCGCCGGTGCGTGAACTATACAAGCTAGAAAAAAAAGCTGGAAGCCATTTTGTGACGGGCGGCTGAGTAAACTTAAGGTGCAAGAGATTAATTAAAAAAATATTCAACTGGCAACTTTTGAAGATTGGCATCGGAAGTCAATGGCTGGAAACGAATCTGAATGGATCATGTTGATTTGATAGTCCCGTTGTACAAACCACCTTTCGATTACTGCGACAAGACGTGGCTACGAAAAACTTTTGCTGTAAGGACGATTACGTAAACACTAGGCTCTATCCGTACAGGATAGGCATTGGCATATACCAAGTCGCTACGTCAGTCTGAAGATCACTGAATGAGCGACTAGAACCGTTTTGTGCTCGCTGGCGCCTAATTTCAATTTTGATTCGTTATCGCTTTTCGTTAATCAGTCATTCAAAATGCAGACTAACAATAACGATGTTTCAAGAACTACAATAAGGCAGAGGAGATCTATCTGCTGCTGGCTTATGATATCATCAACTATCCGCGAACAATGTTATACGTCGATAACAACCTATTCCGTCCCGCGTGTATATCCGCAAAAAACTGTTAAATTCTTCCAGCTGTTAGCGAACACGTCTGAAAATACCCCGAGTAACATAAAGCGATCTTTCTAGTGAATGCGTATTTGAATAGTGCTAGGTACATTTTTAACTGGTACTTATCGTATCACGGTTGTAATTAGCTCCGTCATCTATCGAAGTGGCAAACTTGTCGTCGAAAATCCTGGGCTGATTGATTTACCCAGTAGTAATAAATACGGTAGCCCAGACGACGTTTTCGAATAATGCGAGTTGTTAATATGTATGTCTCGTAAGCGTAAAAGTAATGAGTCGCCGAGAAGCAATGTTTCATATTCAAAATATCTAAACATGTAGAACAACACCTATTTACTAGCTTTACGAGTAAGAATAGAGTGGAACGTTAAGGCATACCATGCTCCTCTAAATATATTCGTCACGTATTCACGTTTAGAACCAAGTGCGTATCGTTGGCGTCAGCTGAATGGTTTTGTCTTGTTATTATAGTGTCTCAGGTTTACTGGTAATATCCCACAACAACTTTTGTGCCTTGTAACCTCAATGTTTCGTGTTTGAGATGCTTGTAACAATAGGTTTAGCTAACGTATAAATACGTAGAAATAACAAGCAAATATACGTTGTCTATAAGCAATATATTTAGATAAACAACTCATTTATACAAAATATGTTAAAATATTAACTAGTTGTTCAAATGTATACCTAAAAAAAGCCTAAAAACATTAAATTACATTGTATATATCCATATAGTAGTTAGTAATGTAAAATCCTTACGAAATGACAGTAGTAGTAAATGAAAATAGTGACATAACGTTGCCTTTGATGGTTTACGTAATTTCTCTACGATACTAGGGGATCCTATGTTTCACCTTTTTCGATATGTTTTCATACCGTCCTTGCAGTGAATTTGCAGTTCTACCTACTGCCCATTAAGGTAAGGAGACATGGTGAAGAAATAGCGACATAGCGATACGGCCGTGACTTGAAAGCTAACTTTTCCAAACTTTCACCGTTAATTGACTCTGTATCTTTTAGTACAAAAAAAGCAATGGCAAAGTAAAAAAAAATAGAGATGAATTGACAGCAAATGAGTCGCTATCGCGTCCATTTATGCTGTGTGCGTATAGGTTCAGTTCATAAGGGGAGCTGATTGATGGAAGTTAATTTCGTCGATATAATAAATATGTATATGATTTTTGTAAAATACGATATTCTAAGTAATATTAGTATCCTGACGTATCGTTGCATACCCTGTGATATCCTTGCTAGATATCGTTTTAAAAAGTCGCGTTCATACGTAATTTATCGCAGTGAAGGTCTCTGACGCTAACAGAAGACTGCCAGGATATGAACAGGAGAATCTATTTATCAAGCAATAATGTATAATAATGAAAACGACTGAATGTAATGATGTTTATGTTTAAAGTATATGGATCTTGCACCGGCGGTACGGAATCTTAGAGTGCACAATTAGGCCAAATCAGAACATTACGTGGGTAATGGGTGTGGGCCAAAACCACAAGAACTAGTTGTTGTGCAGATTTGACGATGAGTTGCTACACTGGTAAAATGGAAGCCGCTTATAAATCGGACTGTGTTCTTCAGCGTCAAGGTCAGCTTTGCTGGAGGAGCGGTAACACGGTATTTTCCTTATCAATGCTACGATATCTCACCGTACTCCATGTATATTTGTATTTTTAGCCAACAAACAGTTAACCCTGATGTATGCTTTTATCTGTCTTATCTATTTCGATTACATGTTTATGATAGTTAACATGTGTGTGTGCGCGCTGTACATACGTACGAAAAGTCGCCGAATACAGTGTATAATTTTTAACGCCAACAATGGCATTCAGAGCTCTAACTGTTTTTGGTCTACACACAAATAATATCTAACGGTATCCAGCTTACGGAGAGCATACGCCACATACAACCTAGTTCGATGTACTTCAAATGATCATAAAGGACCTAAAGGTCCTTGATGAGACAATCATATGCACAGTGATGATCCTGCCTATGATATAGTTTCAGCGGCAAAGGCAGCGGTAACATAAATATTTTGATTAATTAAAAAATCTGATGCCCATTATAAGTACGCCGCTGCGAGTTCGCTCGAGTCGTTAGCACACTTTTCTCTATGAGAGTCCTTTCTTATCGCAGGTGACCATCTTGCCACATCCAGCCATGTAAACAAATGTTAGAGCATCGTGTTACGTTCACTCCAACCGTAGACATATGACAGGCGTGTACGCGGCGTCAACCATCGCTCGTTTTGCTTGTCTACCCCAGTAGCGCTCGCATTTTTGGTGACGTGTCGTGCCACGAAGCGTTAACGAAATCTTTGAATTTATCTTTTTCAGCCTACAGGGAGGCTTGCATGTAATATGTTTGTACCAGCTTTGCATAACAACTATAATTTACACAAATCTTGCCAAAAAGGAACTCGAAGAGCTCTGCTTGCGCTGGAAGGTCTGTTCTATCTGTGACGAACTCGGGTTTGCCTTTACGATTGTCTCGAGTATCAAGGCCTAATTAGGAGGTGCTAACAGGAAAGGCCACGATGGTACAGGGAGACGGCGGAGCCATGATACGAAGGTTACGTCCGGCAGTGATTGTGTGCCTACTATTCGCAGTGATTGCGGTCATTAGCTGTTTGTTGATCATTGGAGTCCTGATTATTGAAAGGATTTCACAGATGGCATTACAGGAGTTCCAGTGGTTTACCCTACTTGCTTTTGTGCTGTCGGCCGTTGTTTGGTACTCAGTGTATCCCAAGCTTCATCGCAACATCATTATGCCAGGCCGACCCGTGTCGACTTGTCAAATAGATCCTGGATCAAGGGAGCAAGTTGACGAAAACGAGTATCCCCTCACGTCCCAAGAAAAAATAAAAAAGATGTTTAGGAAGTTTTACGAGCAGCGTAAGTGGCTTGAAGAACCCGATCTGGTGGATGTATGGGGCAAGTATGGGGCTGTGATGGCTGAGATGAAGACTCGTTTAAGGAGTGATGAAATGGAAGCTTATAAACGTGGCTATTAGAGAGCGAATCTCATTAAAAAGTCCTATTGTCGTTTGAGAGTACTCATTTTACTTTTGTAAAAAAATAAAATACTATTATATAATTAGGAACAGCAACCTAGCAAAAATAAACTAGGGATTTTCTAACTATATCCAAAAAATTTTCCTATTTTTTATAGGCAGTTCAAGACATGCAGGATCAACATCTACATTTGTTTCAGAAAAAGCTATTCCGTACATTATTAAGGTTTGGTGATTTATCACAGCCAGTTATATTTTAGTTTCATAATATCAACTATAAAATGAGATTATTTAAGGGTTCACAGTTGCGATGATGGGAAGCCATTGCGAAAATGTTGGCTCACATCCCATATATTTCAATGCAGCCGTCACTCATGGGCACCTGGTTAAACTATTAAAATAATTTTTAAAAGAGAAATAATAATGTGTATATATATATATATATATATACACATTATATATATATATATATATATATGTAAATAAGGATATTCGTGGGGCAATCAGCGGAGGAAGAATACGGCCAAATTCTTATGAATAAATTTGACTCTCTTATAAACAATTATGTCAGGAACCAGCAGCCCTATGCGTCATGCAACGAGAAATAATCATTACACAAATGAGCGTTCAGCATTTTGTTAAATTCGCCTTCTACTTTTATACTGCTGTATATATATATATATATATATATATATATATATATGCTACAGAAACATTTAGTCATAACTGACATGATTTCTTTTTGACTACAAAGGAAAAGTTCTTCAGCATTTTAAACTAACAATAGTTTGCCTAAGACATACATATATATGTATATATTCATACGAAAAAATGTAAAATGCTACCGAATATTCTTATATGCACAACCTATTAAATAAAACAACGTTTGTGAATATGATATGATAAGAAATTACCTATTTTCTATTTTAATTCGCCATCGACATCACTTTACGTCTACAGCAGCATAAGGGTCTAAGACCTACCTTTATGTGAGGACCTAGGACAAAGGTAAATGTATAACATTATATCCTCACGCAAGATGTCACAGATAATTTCGAAGCCCGGTATGATGAAAGGCTGTCAGAAGTGCGGAGTTGTACTTTTGGCGCATACCGTTATATTTGTACTCTCATTTCAAATTCGTTATGTCAGATATGAAACAATTCTCTTGTGAGTTTTCTGTTCACAGAGGAAAGATGGTAGTTATGTTTTGTCCTAAATAAAGTATAAGTTATATATTTGAAATACATAAAGGACCGTATGGTAATACATAAGTCGACAGCTAGTTCTCATATTGTTTCAATGTCTTGCCAACAAATCTACTCTTTGTGAATTGATATCTGATATTGACGTTAATGCCTCTTTCGTTCTAGCGCCCACATAAGGGGGTTGTATGTCAAACTTCATGTTGATATGCGAGTGTTACGCATGGTTCTAGCCTTGTATTTTTTGTAGCAGGTTTCAAGGTGTAATGATGTAAATTCGCTTGTGGGTACCGTGCCCCACATCTAAGTATTTGTGGTAGTGGTGTGTACCTACTAAATTTTTAATTTTTGGACCTGGGTTTGCACTTAGTTTAATATTGTTTCGATTCAATGAAACTGAGGACTTTGTGTCCAACTTAGACGAGATTATCACTTTGTACAAATTTATTCAGCAAAATACATTTTTTCACGAGCATATTTCGTTTAAGCGATTTACTAGCTGTTAAACATTCGAGGAAAAATAATTTTCAACATATTAGTTGATAATTAAATGCGGAGGCAGCGCCTATTCGGGGCCAACACCGGCCTATTTGATGGATAGATGTTAGCTGGCAAAAGTGGTACTTCAAACAATGACAATGCTAATTTAATAGAATTGCACTACTGTTATTCTTTACGCGATAATTAGGGATTTAAAAAAAAAAACAGGCGATAAGGGATACAGCCACAGAATGTGTGTACATCGAAGTTAATATTTGGGGCTCCGTTCGAAAGAAAAGCCGAAATACAAAATTCTGTCAGTTACGTTTTGCCGAATGAATGCTACGGCAAAGTTTAACTCCTAGTTATCCGCGTGTCTTGTTTCTTTATTTTTCACTATGGATATTTAAAGCTACGGCGAAATGCGTTTTTGTTAGAGTTGACTTCAATTGTATCCGTTGCATAGCATTGCTTGAAGGCTTTGCTAAAAAAGGAACCCCAACACGAGCAACGAAGCCGCATCCCATTGGCTCTGCAGTGTGTTCAAAGGAATTTCAAGGGTAGAA